CTGAATAATTGCACCTTCGGACGCTCAAATCTTGAAGCCAATACGAATTTTTGTAGATCTTCCTCTCCTCTTCCTGGCTGGTGTATTTCTAAATCCGCCCAGAATCGCTGGGGGGCTGTAGCACCGAAAATTCGAAGAGTCTCGGCTCGTTTTTCTCTGCCGCTTATCGTAGTCCAAGGCAGTCTATACAATAGGTCACGTGACTCGCTTGTTATTTATTCGTTTCTGACCACGGTTACTCCCGTAACAGCTGGCTGTACGGCAAAGCGCTGAAGACGTCGGCACGCAAATTAGAAATAAACGAACCCTATGCAGTCGGCGGCCCTGGCACGGTTCTCTTCTCTTCCTCTACCCCGTCCCCTCCCCGTCTGGCTCTTGTTAAACAAGGTCTGTTTTCATAGGTTGTAATGGTCGGTTCCTATATTAAAGTGTAGCGCCAGCTTCTCCTACCACTAGTAAATGCTTTAATCGGAAGCATTGCGCCGCGGTCGGGTTTCTTTACTCTAATGCCACGTTGCCGGAGCTTTCTGATCGATGGATTCTGTGCAGTGAAGAAATCGATTTTTGAATTAGGATTTTTCATTAATATAGATCATCAAATCATGACGCTCTGACGTTGGAGGTATGCATCACCCGTTCTTCACTCGCCAATCTTAATTGGATAATTTTACATATCGCTACCAAATCGAATATGAATATCAATCCCGCCTATTCGGCGCTGCACTTCATATATATTTTAACGCGTGTGTCATGAATAATTAGCTTTTTAGAACCCTCTGGAGAGTTCGTAGAAAAACGAAGTAGGAAAACAGAAAAAAAATATTATTCGTGACGCCTCATATAGCTTGCATGAGCACGGCCTCTGGGGTATTTTTAACCTGCGACGTCAAATATCCTGATTTTAACTGACGCTCTTCGCCAGCTGTGTGATTTACTACCCGATCTCACTTCAGTGAAAATGCCTTTTTTCCTGAATGTTAAAAATCTAATGTATTTTTCTCCGATATCTGAGTGAACTCGACTTTGCGCTAGCTACTTCAATGTTGTGAGACGGTGTGTTTTATCGCATTCGCCAATCTCATCAACCAGAGAGGAGTGCGTGTGTGCGTTGGAGAGATAACGAGACCCTATAGCTTAGGATTTCTGGATTTCACCCGAGATGGAACTGCGTAAATGAAATATTAATTTAGAAGGGCTCCTGTCGGTGGGAAATTGCAAAATTATAAAAAGATTAGTTACAGTGAAAAAGAACCGGGTCATGAATTTGTAACGACAATGCTTGGATTATTATTTTGATCAATTATTCATTTTCTCAGAGATCAAGCGAAGATCGTTTTCAGACTTGTCCGTCGCCGCTGTTGAATTACAATATCAGCCGTCTCCCAAACGTTTCACATCAAATTCAAATAAGTCTCGTCTGCCATCGTGTTCACAAGTCGCTTCATTCATTTCATACGTCAACCCCTGTCCTCGCTCGACTCGGCGCACAAACTGAAAGCGACTCCTTTACCAGGTTTATTTACAAGTATATTTTTTCTCCCTTCTCGCCGTGACCCGCATGTATTTCTTCGCTGTTTGGCCCGAGGGAATGCTAAACATGCCGATTCATTATCGTGACTGCCGGCCGTAAGGGGAGACGTATATGAAATGGGGTCCCCAAGTCGTTAAGTACATTTAAATTAAGCAGCTATAAAAAATTGCGTGTCCGCCGCGGTTGGTGATTACTGCCTGTACGCAGCGTTGAAATATTGCCAGAAAATTTTTCTCCTGTTTTGGTAATTTATTTTAAAAATTCGCCTGTGGATACGTGGCTTAAGCCGATGCAAATTTAGAAGCCTATCGCAGTTTGGATTTTTCGTTGAAAAAATATCGGATAAAATCTATAATTCCTGTTAAGGGAATAATGGAAATTTGCTACTCAGACGTGGTTTGTTAACGTTAGTACAGCTTCTACGCAGAGTTGAGACGTTGCCAAAGCAAATTTCATTCTCTGACAACTCTAACGGTTATAAAATTTGCTAGTCCGAATTCGTGTGTAATTTTTGTCCGCGTTTGTTTTTGAAACATTGCCAGGGCCTAGGCGTCTGTGTGTATAGTAACGAAATTACGCAGAACGGGTTAGTTTGGGAAGGGGATTACATCGGTCGTTTTTATCAGCTCCCGTAGCGCTGACTGCAGAGAGCAGAAGGAGGGATTTAAAATGCCATTTGTTTCATCATGACCATATTACGATAAGATAAAAGCATATATCAAAGCCTTTTGATTCACTGCATGTTTAATTATTGTTTCATCTTTATTTATTCTAAAATTAATTGATATTTTGCATGATGAGGGTTGGTTTATCATGCGTTGTTTTGAAATTCGTATACATATTCTGTATAGCAGATTTCATTTGAACTATTTTCTAAAATATACTCCATAATAGAATCCCCCCTTGTCATATAATTCATGTGGGTAGATAATGTGATAAAACGTACCAGTCGAACCTTAACGCAAAAAAGGAAAAAAATCGACCCCTATCAAAGAAAAAATTTCCCTAGGATGAATATTGAGATTCAACCCGCAGGCGCTACCGCCTTTGAATTTATATAGGCTGACGAAGTTTTCGTAATTATCTCTCGGCTAATCAGCCTCTCTAGAGCTTTAATGGATGCAATTGAAGTGCAGCTCGGAGAATTAAACAGAATATCGGGTCAACGACGCAGCGCTCTAGTTCGCTTCGTTTTCTGTTTTATTACGACTTGATTTAAGAGACACTGGTAGGCTGAATAAGTTATTTTCTTACGTCTCTCTTTTTGTCCAGAAACGAACCTTTAGGATGTCATGTGAGGTTAGATTGATCGCAGAGTCTACGTTTGTAATTAAAATCTTTAAATTAAGAACAACCCTCTTTTATCTGCAATAAAAACCGGCTATTTTACGCAGTGAATTTATACTTGTTCACTTGAAATTGATGTGAAACAGAAAGTTGATGTACGGATTTATCCTCAACATTTTTATCCGGTGCGAGCGTGACACAGGTCATATAGCCTCCATTGCGACGTACTTAGCAGCAAAATCTTTTCAATGTTTGTTTTCTGTAGCAGACAAATCTAAAAAAAAATCACAGAGTTAAAGAGCCTGTCATATGGGGCTTTTGAATGCTTAGAGAACGAATTTTTGCCCGCCCTCTCCTCCTTCAAAATTAAAACCTTGACAATATTTAACAGTCATCATCAAATTCATACATTAGTGTTAATGAGATATAGATATCGCAGCCCTTTCCTTTGATACACATTTGTGGAAATGGACAAAAAATATTTCTACAAGCTGTCGCAAATAACGCCAGTTGCACAAGTGAATTATTACCGAGACCTTTCTTCTTCTATCAGTTCGTAGAAGAGAATAAAATCGGACTATTATACAGGCTGTACATTATCGCTTTCTCTCTGCAGAAGTATCGATTGAGTATTTTCTTCGCCGTCGCGGTGTATTTCAATTGTAACTATCGTGTTGTTTTTCTACCACTTCACTGCAGTAAAGGCAGATTAAACAAATAATGCTTTATCACAGGGAATCGAATTTAAGAGTGCCCTGTCTCGCGCTAGATGACTTTCGCTTCATTTAACCCGACACGAATCAAGGCTAGGGAGCATTTCAACCAATGATTAATTGTGAAGTAGAATAGGATATCCCTGTTTGAAAATTTCACCTTTTTTAGAATAAAATTGACATCTGGAGGAAGGTCTCTGTAGACCTGATTATAAAAACTGGAAGGTAATTGCAAACCTATTTTTGAAACCCGCAGCGTGGAATTATTGTGATTTATAGTAATATTATATCAAATTTACAACTGGGCAAAAAATAAGCCATATCGAAAAATAGGTGTATTAATGGTGAGATAACTGGGGCTTAAATTAGCCGAAACATCAGTAAAAGACATTTTTGTAAACCGCGAGATCAAATAATTACTCCTTATTTACCGTAAAGATAAACAGTGGGAAAAAGACATTGAAAAATTAATGAGAATTTACGTTAATAAAACATGAGATCTTTACATTCTCAATCTCAATCTCAATCTCGTACTTCAGGGCGATAAAACAATATCTTCCTTACTGGGATTGCGTCTTAAAAGACTGACGTGCATTGTTTTCCATTTTCAGAGCTTTTTTGCCTTTTCTGCTGGTAATTATACAATATTAAACACTCCGTCTGGAGTAGGTAAGAGACTACTAGAGGTAAGAGACTACAGAAGCGAGAGCGAATTAAAACTAATACGGAGAACTGCATCACACTCTCCTTATCGTCAAAAGAGTTCAAATTTTGATGTTGTCAGCGAATATCCCGTTGCCGGGTGTATATTCGATACGTCACTATGCGTCAAATAAAAACTCAAGATTGATATACAGTGTCTTTACATTTCAGTTTATCATATCCCGCCCTTTAACATTTATGTCCTCTGCTCTCTACATCGGCACGCAGCCAATAGTTCACGTAAGCTTTAGTTAACCACTGATTACAACACCTTTCTTATGCGCTCTTTATATACCCAATGCCAAACAAACCCGCCTAAATTATATTTATATGACTAGATTGTTAACTGCTTGAAAACAGAGTGACTAATATAACCGCGTTGGTGAAAATCACGCCTTTTTTCTTCGGCTCACCATGCATAAGCTTTTTGTGTTTTGTATACCTTTCGTGACTTGACTGTTAATGAAGATAGTTGGAGCTCTAGCGTACATCTATATGACGTCTCTCGTTTCGAGAAGGAAAAGCTGAAAAAAAAAAAAAAAAAACGGGTTTGCAAAAAAGAGCACAGAAATTGCTTTAATCAAATCCTTGCTTAACTTCATTCTTAGTTTATTAAATTTTGAGTAACTGTAAAGGAGAAAAGACAATATATGTATTTCTACCTTAATATAATCCAACATAAACAAATGCATTTGATTTAATAGAGAGAGATTTCTTACAACAGATCTTTTTGATGACTGAAAACGAATTAGGATTCGCTATGTGGGGTACCGTTAACTTGTACTTAAATACAGCTATTTACTTTATTAGAAGTTTGACGTGAGGGACAGATAAATGCCCTTTTAGAGATTCCACGAATCCCTATATAGGCGTAAATAGACACAGTGACATTTAAAAACCGAATATTGTGCAGTTCATGAAACTGAATGCCATATAAAGTTCCAATTAATTGTTCTGTGACATTTAAAGGGCGAAAACGATTTTGCAGGTGTATGCGAAAATGTAAAAGTGCTACTTTTTGTAGCTGGAATGACACCTGCGGCCATTTTAATTTCTAGTGTTACAATTTTTAACGTTATTCAGAGGCAACGGGCGATATCATGAAATTAACTGAGAATAATTATCTTGGTTCGTCGAAGATTACTTCTTGATAACCTTGATTTATTTAACACTGAATATGAAAATACCAGAGAAAAGATTATTTAAGCTCGGAAAGAACTGTTAAGACCCAAATTTAAAAGTTTAAAAAAATTAGAAACAATTATCAGTTGTGATTATATGTCTATAAATTAATCTAATTAATTAAGCAGAGTCTCATACAGTAGGTTAGCTATTATATATATCTGGCAGAATATTACCGGGGAATATTGTCATCATTTAAATTTTAAATTCCTCCCTGTCCTCTATAAATTCACAAGAACTATATCAAAATTTAGCGCTTTTTGTATTCTACAGTCTTTGAGTGAAAATCAAATCAAATTGAAATCATAATTTTTTCTCTTTGCGTGTTTTGACGGAAAAACAAAAATCATATATCAGTAATACTCTATATTTGAA